AATTCTGGGAGTTGAAGTCCACACATCCTCAAGCAGCCACGGTTCAGAAGCACTGGCATAGAGTATTGCCCTGAGAGAGAGAAGCGAAGGCAATGAGGAGGGCTTACGAAAGGAAAGTGGCTTCTCCAGCAGCCTGGGGGATCCCCTGTGGATCCTGCTTGTGCTTCCATGGATGTTCCCCTCCCTCAGTCTTGCTTTTAGTTATATTTTTAAGGTTTTCTCTAACAGCTGTGACATTGTTTTCACTGCTGGTTGCACACCACCCAAGAGTGGTCAGTGAGATGGGTGGCCTAAATGTATTAAATAAATACATACATAAAATAAAGGAAGCCTCGAAGCAGACACGATTCCCATTTCTTCCAGTCCTGCGGGGAAGAAGAGGAGCTGCTGTAAGCGGATACCAGGGAGGTGCCCTCGGCTTCCCCATCTGATCAGCGGACGTAGGGTTTCCTGGTGGCCTCCCATCGAAGTATTCTTTGCCCGCCAGGCCTTTGGCAAAATGATTAAAGCCCACTTTCCTTCTTTGACTTTGTTCCCACCTGGGTTTGTTATCTCTGCCGTCTGTGCTCTTTTCGGTTTAGTTTTGCTTTCTAGTTTTAATGTTTTTAACAATTTGTAAACTGCCCAGAATTGCTGGGAGTAGGGCGGCATATAAATTTAATATCATCATCCTCATCGCCAGCTAGGCCTGTCCTTGACTAGCTAAGCGGGAAATATAAAATGTTCCCCTGTTGCTGCTGTTGAGTTTCTTCCTTAGTTGTGTGTTGGGTACAGAAAAGATTAGCTGTATGCTAAAAGACAGGTCAGAATCAGAAACGTCCAGTGCTGTGGATCATCAGAACAGTGTTTCTCAACTTGGCAACTTTAATGGTGGCTGGGGAATTCTGGGAGTTGAAGTCCAACCATCTTAAAGTTGCCAAGGTTGAGAAACACAGATCCAGAAAGTCAGTTTTCTCTACCTACTTTGTAAGTGTGAGAGAAGATGCTTTATGGATGCAGAATCATGTTCACCTTAGTCTGTTTTAGGAATCACTACAGGTGGTCCTTGCTTAGCGACAATCTCATTTAGGGACTGTTTGCAATTACGATGGTGCTGAAAAAGTGACTTCTGACCAATGTCCTCAGTTATGACTTTCGCAGCATCTCTCTCTCAGTCACATGTTTGCCATTACAGTCAGCCAGTACGCGTTGTCCTGTGTAAAATCATACAGTCACAGTCATGTGATTTTTCACTTAGCAACCGCTTTGTGTAATGACCGAGTTGCCAGTCCCAATTGTGGTTGCTAAACAAGGACTACCTGTCATTGATACTAGAAGTATTGTTCCCTTGAAATAAAAAGAACTAAAATGCACTATTGTTTATGTAAGAGGTTTTGTTTTAACCAGTATGCTGAGGGAAGGAGGATGAAAAAGCTTTAAAAACAGTGGTGTAAGGTAGAAATGTATAGCCCAAACTTTCAGGAGTGGTATGCTCAAAATCTATCTATCTATGTGGTTGCTAAGAGTTGACAACAACTTGATGGCACATAATAACGACAACAATAATAATTTATTAAACTTGCATGCCACCCAACTTTCAATCAATCAATCAGTGCTCAAGATCTTGTTTATGCAGATTTAAAGCACCCATGAAACACTCGGTAATCATTGGTGTGCATTTGTAGCCAGATGCAAAACTGAAATGAAAAGAAAAACAATTTAAAATAGTATCTCCTTGAAAATATAAGGGGTAGTGTTATCTTAAGCCTGCCAGGCTGGTTCATTTAGTCTGCAGAGCTATTAGCAAGGCCTCTTTTCTCACATGAAAGCACCTCCTTTTCACCGAAGCCAGAAGAGGTCTCTCCTCCTCATGTGGTCTTTTAGGAATAATAGCAGAGCCAAACGGATGTGGGGTGTCCAAAGTCAGCTCCTGAGGAGAAGGTTCTTAGTGCTTGTCTCCTAAGAATGTGTCACAGCAATTGGCAGCATGAGACTAACCTTGGTTGATCTTGGAAAAAGCAAAGCAGGACAGACCTGGTTGAATGGGAGACCACTAGGAAATTCCAGCACCATTGACTGGACTGGGAAATTAAAAGAATAGCAAACTACTTTTATTGACCAAAAAAAAACCTACTTCAGGGCAACCACATAATCACCAGAGTTGGCTTTTTTTTTTTTACCCACAGAAAAACATTTTAAAACATTCCAGACTTTCAATAACAATTCCTGCCTGGGGGCCCAATGAATCATTGTAGGTGGGCCTTATTTTGGCTGTACTGCTGCAATGTGATGTGGTTCTCTGAAAGCAGCCTGGAAAACATCTATAATGAATTTGGCATTTCAGAAAAGACAGTAATTTCAGATTTTGGTACTGTGCAAATTCACTTAAATCCGAATCCACTCAAAGGGTCAGAATGGACAGTCCTAAGCAAACACTGAACAGGGTACAAGGTTAGGTTTGGATGTACTGTTTTGGCCACTTTGACCTCTTACAATCTCACCAAAGAATGGGGATGGGCAACCTTTGGTGGGCAGGATCTGCATTTAACTTTAACTCTGAGATTGCTGTGGCACAGAATGAGCAGAACATGTTGCGTGAATGAGAAGGTTGGGCTTTTCAAGTCCCCCCACCCAAATTCAGCAGCCTAGACAGCAGGAAGTGTGGGAAGTGCCAAAGTGTTCAGAGACTAAAGGTTGCCCTCATCTACCATAACTTGAGGTATCTTCACCCTTAGATGTAGAAATGAAGCTGTAGTTAACTTCTTTCCTTAAGACTATAGAACCCCAAGCCATGAAGTCATTCCATGCTTAGGGTAATGTTGCTGTCTGTTGCCACACAAAAGAAATCTGAGGTGGTGGAGAAAACAACACTGGCAGTTTTAACTCTTTCAAACAGCAGGATGATGAATATGGAGGGGAAGATGATGCCGAAGTCCAGCAGGAATGCCTTCACAAATTTTCCACCCGAGATTATATCATGGAGCCCTCCATTTTTAATACTTTAAAGCGGTGAGTGCAAGTTGATTCGAACATTGTGGTTGGAAAGGGGGATTGTGGGTTGATTGTGATCTGATACCCCTGATTCTCTAGGACATTGTTTCTCAACCTTGGTAACTTTAAGATGTGTGGACTTCAACTCCCAGAATTCCCAGCCAGTCATGCTGGCTGGGGATTTCTGGGAGTTGAAGTCCACATGTCTTAAAACTGCCAAGGTTGAGAAACACTGCTCTAGGAATTTCTTAAATGAGGATCTCTGCCTCCTTTCACAGGTACTTCCAAGCGGGTGGTTCTCCAGAGAACGTGATTCAGCTCTTATCGGAGAATTACACCGCCGTGGCTCAGACAGTAAATCTTTTGGCTGAGTGGCTTATTCAAACAGGTAATTTCTCACTGACTTTGGGGCTGCATCTTTTTTTACTAAGACCCATAGCCGAAAGATACAAACCAACCAGATGTGGCTTGTCTCAAACGATAAAACATGAGACCAGTGTGTCTGTTTTCAATATTATTTCCTTCTCAGACCCTTTAGAAATATTTGTCTGTTCTTTGAGTCCTGTTGCGCTTAGTGAGTGCATATATCTATGGTTCAAAATTGTCTGTGCTTTAACATATAACTGAGTTCCTAACATTTGAACATGCTGCTACAGGCATCAGGTTAGAATCAGTGATGCTGAATCAAATTACTTGTAAAGTCAACATTTTCTGTCTGAAGTTGCCCCCCAAGTTAAATTTCATAAAAGGAGTGTGCTCTTTTGCACCAAAGATTATTATGGGAATGTTTAAGGATTTACTGTCTGACGTTATCTGTAGTGAATATCTCTTATTGCAGGCGTTGAACCTATTCACGTCCAGGAAACCGTGGAAAACCACTTAAAAAGTTTGCTGATTAAACACTTTGATCCACGTAAAGCAGATTCCATTTTTACAGAGGAAGGAGAGGTAACTTGGAGAGCTCGATTCTGCTAAGAGGGATAACAGCACAATTTCTCTCAAGTTCAGAGGGGAATTTCATGGGAAACTCAGAAACTTTCACTGTGTTTGAGAGGGGGCTTCAAGCATGAATTGTTGTCAGGACATAGTCCTCATTATTTTTTAACTGTTATTCTATCTTTCAAAACAGAGGTTTTTCCAGGATGGCTGAGAAAACATTTTAAATTCATTCTTCAAATATAAATTAAAAATAGCAGCTAAAAATACAAAGAAGCAAACTGGGATGAGCTTTAAGTAGCAAAAAAGTAAAACCGCAGAAATAAAATTAAATATACTGACCTCTGATTCCTGGATGTCTTCTAGGCTGCTCAAAGTGATTCATTCCTGCCTGGGGGGTAAAACTGACAGTGAGCCTATATAGCACCACCTCTTTCAAGGCAAGCAGAGCCCCCCCCCAAAAGAATAACTCGTCCTTCCCCTGCAGAGATTAGCAGGAGTGATGATAAATTGAGCAGCTCTAGGTTGCTTTCTCTGTTTTTCCCATGTGGACATTAATTGTGCATTTGCATACAATTGACAAGAAGGACTTCAGCCTCCTTCTGTGGGCGGGCAAACCTTGGAAGCTGTTGTATTCAATACCTTATTAATCTGGTTACTTATAGAAAAGATACACACATTGCCTTTGCATATTATCTGCTTCTTTTTTTTACATGCAAGGTATCTTCAGACCACATGTTTAATCTGCTTTCTGAAGTAATCCATGGTTGGGCTTTGCACAATACTTTGAACCACATACTCATCAAGTGGGTTGAGTATGCTGAATCATAGGCATCCTTGGGAGGGCAAGTGACATCATATGTACTAAGCCATCGGAAGAGTAACCAGGCTTAAAATTCACGAGCTTAGTATATTGTGTGATTGCATATGCTTAGTCTTGACGAGACATGGCTGTGTGTCACCAGATGTAGCCATAGATGGGTTTGTAAGTAATCTGTGAAGTGAGTAGTAGAGTTCTTGAGAGAGTAAGCACTTGAGTCAACTCTGTGTTTTTCTTTTGACCCTTTTAAAGCTGTTTTAAAGGCACAGCTTGATTTTCTGACCACTCAGCCCATATCAGTCTGTTGCTCTGGTTTTTGGCAGACTCCAGCATGGCTTGAGCAAATGATAGCACACACAACGTGGCGAGACCTCTTCTACAAGCTGGCTGAAGCTCATCCAGACTGCCTTATGCTGAACTTTACTGTCAAAGTAAATATAGTTCTTTCATTCAACTAGAAAGCTTATCAAGTCTCTCCTGTTTTCATGAGCAAATTTGTAAGTAGAATGTAGGTAGATTGGGGAAGCTAACATGTTAAGAGTACAGTTGGACATTGCTCTTTTGGGCATCATATTACCATGTTTATGATCACATAAAATGCATACAAGATTGCCATGAGGAACAGGAACTTCTCTATTGCCATGCTGCAAGGAATTTTGCACACGCTCATCCATATATCTAAAGTTTGGAGAAATTCTTAAAGTCCAAACTATTTCTAGTTTCCTATATATAATATTTGCTTTGAAAGATGACCTCAGTAGGTGGCAGCAACTAGCCAACTGTGGCTGAAGTTAAGCAGGGTTCAGCCTGGTTAGTACTTAGATGGGAGATCATCTGGGAATTCCAGGTCCCATAGGCTAGACTGGGAATTTTTTTAAAAATCCCCAAATGAAAGCAGTGGCAAATCACTTCTCCTAAGAAAACTGCATGGACTGACTCATACTCAACTTGAGTGTGTAGAAATATTTGTCTGTTCTTTGAGTCCTGTA